GGATTCAGATAATTCAAGAAATTCCATTCAAAAAGAGATAATTCCGAATATTAGTGAAAATAAAGAATTGTATATAATTCAAAAGGATATTCAAGAAGAGATTCAGGCAGAATTAAAAGTAAAATTCAGTCAAGTATTCGAAGAGGGTCTGGGGCATTGTAGCAAAACGAAAGCTCATCTTCACTTAAAACCAGGAGCTAAACCAGTTTTTGTTAGAGCAAGACCAGTACCGCTTGGGGTTAAAGATTCGGTCGAAGAAGAAATTAATCGACTATTAAAATTGGGTGCTATTAGACCTATTGAATTCGCTGACTGGGCGGCTCCTATTCTTGCAGTAAAAAAAGCAAATGGAAAAATTCGAGTTTGTATTGATTATTCGACGGGATTAAATGAAGCCTTAGAGCTTAATAAATATCCATTGCCAACACCACAAGAAATCTGGACTGAAATGCATGGAAATAAAATATTCTCGCAATTAGACTTGCGTGACGCATATTTGCAAGTCGAATTAGATTCAGATTCAAAGAAATTAGCAAATATTAATACCCATAAAGGGTTATTTGAAGTACAACGATTACCATTCGGAGTTAAGTCAGCACCAGCAATATTCCAGAAATTAATGGATGAATTAATTAGTGGATTAAAAGGAGTATTCGCTTATCTAGACGATTTGATTATTGCCTCGGAAAATGAAACCGAACATAAAAAAATTCTTATTCAGTTATTCGAAAGAATCCAGAAATATGGATTAAAAATTCAATTGGAAAAATGTAACTTCTTTAAGCCTGAATTGAAATTCTTAGGTCATATAGTCTCCGCGGAAGGAATTAAGCCAGACCCTAAGAAAAAGGCTATTATTCAGGAATTACCAAGACCTCAAAATATTAAAGAATTAAAGTCAGTTATGGGGACAATAAATTATTATTCGAAGTTTGTAGATCAAATGCACCAATTCAGAGGCCCATTAGACAAATTACTTAGAAAAAATTCAATTTGGAAATGGGAAGAAGAACAAGAAGAAGCATTCGAACAAATTAAGTCGATTCTGAGTTCAGATCTCTTATTAACGCATTTCGATCCGCAATTCGAAATTATTGTTACAGCGGATGCTTCCAATTATGGAGTCGGAGCTGTAATTTCCCATAAATATTCGGACGGAAGTGAAAAGGCAATCGAATACGCCAGTAAATCATTAAGCGATTCGGAGAAAAATTATGGACAAATTGAAAAGGAAGCATTAGCATTAGTATTCGCTGTCCAAAAATTCCATAAAATGTTATTCGGTCGAAAATTCAAATTAAGAACCGACCATAAACCATTACTTGCTATATTCGGAAATAAAAAGGGTATTAAAATTCAGACGGCATCAAGATTACAAAGATGGGCGTTAATTCTTACAAATTATGATTTCTGTATAGAATTCGTCACGACAGATAAAATGGGCATGGCAGACAGCCTATCAAGATTAATTAGCAAAAATTCGGAAAATGAAGATAAAATTATTGCTTTAATCTCAGATTCTAATAAATTCGATAGTGGTCCGCCTGATGAATTAAATGAAGTTGAGAATTCAGTTAATTACGTATTAAATATTCTATTCGAAGAGTTACCAGTCGATAGTAACCAAGTAAAAATCGAAACGGATAACGATAGTAAATTAAAGACAGTCATAGATTATATTCGAAATAATAATTGGCCAAAGAATATTGAAGATTCTGAATTAAAATTTTGGTCAACAAGAAGACAAAACCTCCAGATAATTAATGGTTGTATTCTATTCGCAGATAAAGTCGTTATTCCTGCTAAACTCCAAAGAAAAATTCTTGATTCATTACATTCAACACATTCAGGAGTTGTTAGGATGAAAAATTTGGCCAGAGAATATATTTATTGGCCTGGTATCAGTATCGATATTGAGCAGATCGCTGCAAATTGTGATTCATGCCAAAAGGCATCAAAAAGGCCAATTAAAACAGAATTAAGTCCATGGCCAGCACCAAATAAAGCTTGGGAAAGAATTCATATTGATTTTGCAGGTCCATGTAAGGATGGAAAATTATATATGATTATAGTCGATGCGTATTCTAAATGGCCTGAAATATTCGGAAATACGACTACGGCAGCAAAAGATTCAATAAAAAACCTGGAATGGTTATTCTCGCATTACGGAATTCCTAAAGTAATTGTATCCGATAACGGAAGTCCATTCCAGTCATTCGAATTTAAAAATTATTGCATTAGTAAAGGAATTAACCAAATATTCAGCCCACCCTATCATCCTCAGTCTAATGGCCAAGCTGAGAGATTCGTAGATTATTTTAAGAGAATGATGAACAAAAATTGGGGAAAGAGTAATTGGCTACAAGAAGTATTATTGAATTATAGAGCCACCCCACATAATTCATTAGGCGGAAAATCGCCAGCAGAAGTATTCTTAAATAGAAAATTGCGAATTCAATTATCATTAATCAAACCAGAAAGACGAGTGAAGTCAATTAACATTCAACGAGAAGATATTCGAAATAAAATGAAAATTTGGTTTGATAAACACCACGGAACTAAATTAAACAGATTCGAAGTGGGAGATAATATTCTATTCGGAAATTACGACAAAAATAAACAAATTCAATGGCTGCCTGGAAAGATAATTAGTAAAAATGGTGTAGTATTCAAGATTCGCTCGGATAAATTAAGAGCTATTATTCACCGACATGCAAACCAATTAAGAAAAATAAAAAATTTTGGAAACCAACAAGTAGTAAATTATTGGTGGAGAACTCCACAACATATTCGGAATAAAAATATTCAAAATATTCCAATTCAAAATGAAAAGAGTACAATTCAAAGTAAAGATAATGAAATTCGATTCGAAAGACCTAAAAGAACAATTCGACCACCAAAAAGATTAGTAGTAGAGAATACTACTCAAAAAAGGTATCGAGAGGAACCAATTCAAATTTTTCGAAGATGAGATGAGCCGAAGTCCGTTGATGAGAAGAATGAAGACGAAGAGATGAGCGGTATTAGCATTGGTGCTTAGGGTTTGAGATAATATTTTTTGTTGTTGTGATAATATTTTGTTTTATGTATTTTTTGTATTGCCCCCTTTGTATGTATTTTTTTGTTGTTTGGAGACATTATTCGGAGGTATTATTTTATTCAAGAGGAAATTATTCTTATTAAAGGAGGGAGGTGTTGGGTATTGGCTTAGTATAAAAGCCTTCCTATTATTCAGTCGCGGTCTGAGTCTTATTGTCGCAGTATTATTCTATTCTGTTATTCTATTCTGTCTCCACCTATTCGGCGCTTAGCCATATTCCTTATTGTTCGCAACCTATTGTATTAGTATTGTAGATAAAGCACAGTTTGTTAGTTACTGTCTTATCTTGTGTTTATTCTTGTTAGTACGTAGACATACAAGTCACGTACATAACAATACCGTTTTGTGGGTATAACTACAAAACATTACATATACATAAACAAAGACCAAGTTGTTAAAATTACGTCCTGCAAATAACGCGAATAACAAATATTTTTTAAAAAATTGTATACATATAGTAGTACCTATTCATTATTTACTCACCTTGTAACAAAATCTCTTCGTCTGACAAAACTCTAAGTAAATATAACATATTCATTATTTTAGTAAATTCTTTTTTTATTTCTTTTGATATTTCTTTATTTTCAACAAAAATTTTATCAATAAAAATTAACATTAATGTTGAATAATATTCCCAGTCTCTATATAATTGTTTCGGAAAGTTGTCCAACATTTGCTGATTAATTGAATAAATTGATACTAAAATATCAACAGAAATTAAAGCTTTTTCTTCAGTTAATGGCCTTGAATGTTCATTAGATAATTCAAAATAGTTTTGCTTTAGAAGGCTGAGGATTTCATCTTCGCTTTTTTCTTAATTTATTTTTTAGTATTTAATTGAAATTTAAAAAAATTTTGTGATAAAAATAAAAAATCAGAAATTCAAAAAAGTTATTGAATTCATAAAATATATATTCAAGGAAAGCAAATTTAATTAAGGGACGGTAAAAAATATCCAATCAAATAGAAATAATGCGCTTTGGATTATTTACGTTAGTTTTTTTAAAGATTTAGGAGAATTTGTAGGAATCAAAGAGTATTTGAAGGGATTAAATGGTATATCTGTGGATATACATGCCGTATTTTCCCGAATAATTCCCCTCCCTCGAATTATTCCCCCTCTCGATTAATTTCCTATGCTAGAGTTTGGTTGAAACAATAATTCACACCCCCAAATACCCTACTGCACGTACTAATGCCAAAAATCGAATAATTCCCCTCCCTCGAATTATTCCCCATCCCACGTATAGGTTGAAATATTAATTCCTCAGGGGAATTAATCGAGAAAATGCTGTAAGTGAATTTAGAAAGATTAATGGTCATTTAAAATGATTAAATAGTAGATCTGTGGATATAGAGTGATTTAAACGGATTAAAATTAATTTCTAATTAATATTAATTCAAGTAAATAAAATTATTGATAAATTAAATTTTAAAAATAAATATATATTAAATTAATTACTATTAATTAGGAGTGGATTTCCTTTTTCTATTACTATTTTATAATCTTCTTTTAAATCAAAAAATTTGATAAATCTCCATTTAACACCCCTTTCGTTTGAATAATCTTTTTGAAATTGTTCATTATTCCTGTATATTTCTAATAAATCTCTCGAAATTTTTTCATTTAAATCAGCAAGTAGTTTATTCCTTTTTTCATCTTTTTCTTGATTACTATATGTTTTTTTCTTTCCATTTCCATTGAAATATTTTAAGCATAAAAATTCGGCAAAGGTATGGATTAAATCCTTTGATATAGTCTTATTAATTAAAAAATTCTCAAATTTTTTGAAAAATTCCGACAAACAATTTGGTTCGTTTATAACTTCTTTTTTGGCCATTTGTTTGATCTCAACCTTTAATTTTTATCAAATAATTTTTTTAATTATTTGTGACTCCATTAGAAATTATAAAAATATGTATTGAATTTTACCTCTTTTTCAATTTTGATTTCTTCATCTCCTATTTGCTTCTCTTTGCCTTTACTTGATCCAACATGTTCTATTTTATCTTCATTGTTTCTTCTAATCAAACTGTTCTCATCCTCATCACTATCTTTTCCTGTTTTTCCCATCACTTTTCTTACTGCAATTTTCATTAATTTTGAATATTTTATTCCAATATTTAAAAGATTAATATTTTCTTCATTAATTGTTGGAGTAAAGAAAATCTGACGATAAATTTTTTCTTCCATTTCTAAATCGAGAACGTCTAAAATTAATGTTATAAATAATGAATTTTAATTAAATAATTTGAACAAATAATTATTAAGCAAAAAATCAGTAAAAACTCAAAAATAGTTTGATAATAATTTCGAAAAGCAGTAAAACAAATCTCAGAAAAAGCTCAAGATTGAATGGGATTTAATCTAAATAGCATTGATATTAACTCAACAATACCAACACCGCATAATTATAAGTATTTCTGAGTGCTTCAAAAATATTTTCCCAACCTCTCCCCCCTCCCCCCCCCCTACTCCTCCCCCTCCCCCCTCTTTTTTTAAGTTTAATTTAAATCAAACCAATTCGCATTTGCACAGGAAAAAGCATTTCTAAATGATTAAACATATTAAAACCACCCAAATATTTTCTCATATTTTTCTTTACAAATTTAAACATTTTAATATTTTCTTTTTGTAATTTGTAAAATTCTTTTGCAAAAACATTAGAATCTGACTTTCTTAAATTATTTGTATTTGTTTTATCAATTAATAAATTTGTAATTCCTTTAATTTGGAGTAAATCAACTTGATTATTTATCGAATCATCATTTAATAAAATATTTTCTTTTACTGAAGTTGAGGAATCGGAAGTTGAAGTTTTATTTCCAATGATACCTTTAAACTCCTAAAGAAAATAAAATTTAAAAAGACGAACAACTTGATGAAAAAACAGATGAAATTTCAAAAATAAGATTTATGGTTTAAGAGTTTCTTTAGATTTCTTTGTTTCTATACAGCTCTGATTGTTAAAAGAAAATAATTAACATAGATATCAAGGATGTTACGGATTGTCCGAGATCCAATACCAGAAACTCGGACAATTTGCCGTTCTTAAATCCTATCCGAATTTTTCCCTGCCCCTGACATCCCCATAATTGTAAAGATAGTCGGGGGTTAAACGATCTTAAAGAATAAAAGAGAAAGCATTAGTGGTGAGCAAAAGCGCCTAGCAATAACTACAAGGAGGTTGCAGGTTCAATCCTGCCCGTCGGTGGCTAAACTTTGCTAAACTCTTTCTTAATTAAAAATTTCACAAAATTTAACCTCAAAAAATAAATGTATTGATGGAAAATGATGGAAACTTATGGAAAAACTAATAAAATTTCAAAAATAGTATTTATGGCTTAAAATTTTTGAAGATTTTTTTGTTTCGAAACAACTCTGATTTTTACAAGAAGAAAATAAATAGTTAACATGCATATCAAGGATGTTACGGGTTATCTGAGATCGGATACCAGAAACTCGGATAATTTGCCGATACGAAATTCTATCCGAATTTTTTTCCTACCCTTTACAGCCCCGATACATATTTAAAAATCTCACAAAATTTAACCTCAAAAAATAAATGTATTTCTAGCATATTTTTAATATCATTTTTATCCAATTCATTCAACTCTTTTTCATCAATTTTTGAAATTAATAACTTTAATTCATCACATTTTCCTTTAAATTTTTCTTTATTTTCTTCAGATATTTCTACATCAGCCTTAATCTGTTTATCTCCTCCTTTTTTCTTTTTTCCAGATTTTTTATTTTTTTGAGTACTATTTTTATTTAAAACATTTTCTATTATTTTTAAATTTTCTTCAATATTTAAATTTAAAATTGAAAGATTTAATTTAAAATAAATTGGCTGATTTATTCCATCTTCCCCAACATTATCAATAAAAATTAGTTTATAAAATCTTGGAAAATCATTTTTGTTAATAACTTAATTATAAAAATATATTTTTAAAATTTTAAATTTAAAAATAATTTTACAATGATTATTTGTCTGTGCTTTAATAAAAATAATTTTATAAAATAATATAATTTGAAATAAATAATAAATATTATTTAATAAATACATTTAAATTTACATTTAATTTTTAAATAAAAATAATTTTTATTTAAATTTATTTTAAATTTTTTAGTAAATAAAAAATTGATTGTCAATCTTGTATGTATGTAAGTCTTATAGAGCGATGCTATAATATGGGGAGTGGGTAGCTAGCTGTATATTTAATTTCCAACATGTCAATAATTGACAATAAATATAAAGAATGGAGAGGAAATGCCTGTCAATTAATGAATTAATTTGCGTAGGTGTAGGCAATGAATGATAAACAGGTAAAATCCGCAGTCGTCCTCGGAAACACAAAAACAAACAATCCTATGTTGCGGACAGCTCTGGTGTGTCATTCGACTCAGTTCGCGGAGCTCTTTCAAACGAGCTATTATTTGCTTATTCGTTTTTTGACCCCAAAAAATCAGCTTAGTCACTTCTATGGTTTTCGATTTTCAGAGGTCTGAAAATCCGGGAAAAAATGCCTTTGAGCACCGTTTTGAGAACTTTTATGGTGTTTTTCACACTTTCCACATTTTTTTACATTAGAAAAACATGACTTTCAGTCTGTTGCTAAGGTGAACCATAGCCGAGTAGTTGCGGACAGCCCTCTGGTAGGGATACCTTGAAATTTAAATTTTTGAAGTTTTATCTTTTCCAGATTTACTTAATTTTGACTTTTATAAAACCTTTAATTTATATATGTCCGCGGCCAAATTACCGCCGACATATATGTTTTCTGTTTAGAGGAGGAATTAAAGTATATAAATTTGAAGAATGCAAATTAGGTAACAATGTTAGAATCAGGAATGAAATTATGAATGTTTGAAGAGTTTTTTTGAATTAGGGATATTTTTAAAAAATTTACTTATTTACCTATTCTAATAGAATAACAGGCATTTTTTCATACCCCCTGAAATTTCTCATTGGCTTTCTATTAGAATAATTACAGTAATAAATATACATAAGCTTTTTGCGACAAAATGGCTGTCAAAGAAGTTCCGCACAAAAATGTCCGTGTCTGTAAATTGATTTTTTTGTCAAAAAATTTTTTTTGATTTTTAATAAATAATTTACAAATATTAATTTAGAATCTAAAAATAAAATTTAGCATTTCAATAAATTCCAGTAATTTTTATTTTTCAGAACTTTAAATTTTAATCCTCTTACATTTCTATCAATATTATGGCAGGGCAAAATAATGAGGGTATGGATATTTTTGTTTAAAAACTTGAAAAACAAAAATTTTATCCTTCTACTAATTTTATAAAATATTAAAACTCCTTTTTGAAAAGACTACTCAATTCTGGTCACTTATTAGTCTAGCAGACTCATTTATGTACAAAATGGCCAGTCTTTCTTCCTTCTCAATTTCTTTATTAATGTCTCATTGAATTCATGAAGGGAGAAAGACTGACCATTCTGTACATAAATGAGTCCGCATAAAGTCCTGGGTCGGTTTAACTCACAAGTACCCAATTTCTGTTAAAATTAATTTATTTACAGATGATGCTCAATTAGAGAATTTGAAAGCAATTAAAGAAATTAATGAACGTCTTTGTAACGTTGAAAATAAAACTAATGAGCTAGACGAGATAATTTCTTTACAACAACAAAGTTTAATTAATTCGGAGGAACATTTGAGAAAATTAAGAAATAAACAAAAGAAGAAGTCTTCTTGGCTTAGTTCTTTGACAAATTTTGTTGGAGGAGTGATTGATACTGGAAAGAGTTATGTTGGGAAGATTTATGGTGAATTGAAAAGTCAAAAATAATTTTTTTTTAATTTTCTAGAAAATGTGACAACTCCAATTATTGAAAAACCTAAAGTGGAAGAATTTGTTGATAAAGAAAATTTAATTCCGGAAAAGAAAGAGGATTTAGCCGAGGAATTTACTAAAATTGAGAATGATTTGACTTCAAAAAATATTATAAATGAATTTAATAAAATCGAAATTTTCTTTGAGGAGAAAGGAGAGAGGCCACAAAATTTTAGAGAAGTAAATAAATTGGGGGAAGTAAATAAAGAAAAGAAGGAAATTATTAATTTAACAACAATTCCAAATAATTTAAATAATGGAGACGTTCCGAATTTGTCTAATAATAATGGACAATCGTCTTCTAATCCCGACAACAATGGAGGGGATGTTGATCCGAAAAATAAGGAATCTAAAATTAAAGATTCGCAAGAGGTAGAAATTAAAATGTTTAAAATAAATTGTTGGCATCTTCTATTTTTAAATTAAAGAAAATTTGGTTTATTTCATAGGGAGTAGTTACTGTATTTATCAGAAATTTATGGATAAGTTAATGGATAGTCTCACAATCAGGCCAAGTATCCACAAATTGAACCGAAAAATGAAAAGCCAACCGGTCCCCAACATTTGTTTGGGGGTTGAGAGATCTTAGCCCTAAACTTGAAACTCAGATAAAGTTGAAAATCCTTCTGTCGACATACATATATAATATAAATTTAAACATTTTTCTAGCCTGTAAATGATAAAAATAATAGAGAAGTTCCGAATTTGTCTAATAATAATGGACAACCTTCTTCTAATCCTAACGACAATGGAGGGGATAATCCTAAAAATAAAGAATATGAATCTCAAATTAAGGATTTGCAAGAGGTGAAATTAAATAATTGCTAATCTAATTTTTGTTGATTCTTTCTGTTTTTTAATCATAATTTTTTAAATTTAGTGGGTTAAGGAAGGATAAGGGGATTTGAGGGAATAAAAAAACCATTGAAGTTAATGATTTTCGGAGCCGCACCATAATTGCAGAATAAAGGTATTCAGTGCAGGTCTTCCTCCTTTTAGAATTTTGACTTCCTTCCTTTAACGCCGCAGTCAAAAAACGTAGAAAAATGATAAAAAATATAGTGTAGATTTTTCCCGTCCCCGGAGAATAGGTACGGGGAACGTGGAATCCGAACCACGGGAAACGGGGAACTTGTATGGTTTAGGTACGCTTTTTTTAGCCACGCCCTTTTTTCCTTTTCCATCATTATTCTTTTACTCTTCCCTCAACCATCAATCAATTCAGTTGAGGTCAATTTTTTGTTTAAGATAGAGCTGAGTCGGATGACATTATCGAGCTGAATGTGAGCTTGACGAATGACACTATAATCGGTCCGTGAAATCTCTGTGTTGAGTTACAAGGGTCCAAAAATTTCCAAAAAGGAGTAAAAACGGTCAATCTTTTGAAAAAATATGATTTAAAAATAAGAATATTGATTCAAATTTAATTTCTATATGGTGACATTGGAAAGAAAAATTAATTTTTTCCTTTGTTAACGTCACTCAATGAACATGCCACAGGGAAAGTTAAGTGAATTCGAGGAAGAAAGTAAGGCTGACCATTATGCATATTTAAGTTTGATTGATGATGGAAAAGGAAAAAAGGGCGTGGCTAAAAAAAAGCGTACCTAAACCATACAAGTTCCGGAAACGGGGGCTCTGGGGGAGACCTTCCCCCTCCCGTTCCGGGGAGTTCCCTTCCCCTGTAACGGGGATGATCCCCACTTCCAACTTTCCCCAACCCCAAGCTTGAAACCCAAAGAAAACTTGAAATCTTTTTGCCAATAAATCTAAATTTAAAAAAAATTTGTAGACTGTAACTCGTCAGAACATCGAATATAGTCGCCTTCTTAATGAATTGAAACAACGTATTTCGCTGCAAGAACGCAAAGTTTTGGAAAAAGAGGAAATAATTAAACAAAATCAGGAAAAAATTGAAAAGCGGGAAGAGTTGATTGCTAAACTTCAACGAGAGAAAATTAGTGCTGAGGAACAGAAAAAGAACCTTGAAGAATTAAACAAGAAACTTGAGGAAGGGAAAAATAAAAGTGAAAAAGGTGAAAGAGAATGTTTTACAAAAAAGTTTTTTTTTAATTTTTAGGTGAAACAATATTTAATACTGTTGTTGAAGTTGGTGTTGGGGCTCTTGCCGGTGCAGTTATTGGAGGCGTAGTTGGGGGTCCTTTCGGGGCAGTTGTTGGAGGCGTTGCTGGTGCGGTTATTGAAGGGGTGGTTGGCGTTGTTAAGAGTGCTTTTAAGGCGGTTAAAAGTTTATTTGGATGGCTTTGTAGTTGAATTGAATAAAAATGTTTTGATACTTTTGACATTATAAATTTTAAAATGAATTTTTGAGTTTTATAATTTATTGATTTCTTTTTTGAAATAAATTTATTTTACGATTTTTATTAAACAATTTTTGGAAGTTTTGTATTTTTATAAGAAATTACTCAAAATATAATTTGTTATTTATTAGCCCAGAGATATTAATTAACAGAAAAATTTAAATTTATTCTCCCCTTCTTGTTTGACATTTATTGTTACACGGATCTTCTTCACTTTCCAAATTTTCGTCTTCATTTACTGGCGCTAATGGTAAATGGAAGGGTCTCGTTGGTTTTTGCTTTTCAGGTGATGTTGGTAATGAAGAGGTGGTAGTGAGTAATACTGGTGCAGATAGCTTCTAAAAATTTATTTTTAAAATATGTACGAAGCTAGATATTTAAATAATTTTTAGAATGTTGTGACTTATAGGGGGTTTTTTTTGGCTGGACCGATTTGGACAAATGAGGTGTCATTCGAAAGAGCTCGCCGAGCTGAGTTGATCGCGGGCAGAGAGAAGTCGATCCGACAATCAGGGACCGAGATACAGACCCCTGAAGTTTGAAAAAGAGAAGGGGGGAGTAAGCTCATTTTGGGGTGAAAAATTCGAAAATGCAAATAATAGCTGATTCGACTCAGCTCGTCGAGCTGAGTCGAATGACACCAAAATCAGCTCGATATCTTGATTCTGAGCTAAGATAAACAGGTTCAAAATGGTCAACATAAACCTATGGAGCGTCGGCGAGGCGCTTGTGCGAAACCCCGCGCTTCGCGCGGGGTTTCGCGGCACGCGCCTCGCGGGGAGTCTACGGGCGCTGGGTCTGGGCTCGTAACATAAACCTATTCCTATCTTCATTGCTCTGGACGTATTTGGGGCCTCCGTAGCAGCAAAAATCTCAACAAATGCCAAAGGTAAGGAGCTAAAATAAAATATCATAACTTTGTCCAATCAAGTCAGATTTCATTGATTCTGGTGTCATTCGACTCAGCTCGACGAGCTGAGTCGAATCAGCTATTATTTGCATTTTCGAATTTTTCACCCCAAAATAAGCTTACTCCCCCCTTCTCTTTTTCAAACTTCAGGGGTCTGTATCTCGGTCCCTGATTGTCGGATCGACTTCTCTCTGCCCGCGATCGACTCAGCTCGGCGAGCTCTTTCGAATGACACCTCATTTGTCCAAATCGGTCCAGCCAAAAAAAACCCCCTATAAGTCACAATACCCAATTTTTAGATAAATTCGAACATTGATATAAGAATTTAATTTTGGATAGACTGAGTTCAAAAAATATTAGACCCTAGCCGGCGTTGTGTTTATATCATTTTGCTTCTCCAATGTTTCATCCAGTCTCTCTGATGTGTGTATAGAATTTTTCAAATTTGTTGGTGACCATCCATTTTTAATTTGTTCAATTTGCTTAATAAAATTTATAAAATTTTGAAAAATAAAAATACTTTTTCGCTAATTTTTGATAACTTCCCTCCACAAAATCTAGGTTGTATAGGGATTGATATAGATTGACGCATATTGCGCAACTTTTTCATAGAAATATTAGAAAATCGACGCAAATTTAGACCCTTTTCGGTAGACAATTCTGTACTATTTGTGTTAGAGAGGGAATCATCAACTAAATTTAGGAAGAGATTTTTTAAATAAAAATTTATTTTGTTCACCATTAGACCCTCTTTTTACTTCTTGTTGTCTTTCTACCATTCGAACGGGCAAATGCTCTTCTGGTAAATTACACAATGTTGCAGAGCCGACAAGTGGGTGTTGGGGTTGTGTTGCAATACTTTCTGCATAAAGAGGGGCCAAATCTGTTTTCGGGTTAAACAAATCGTCACAAGAATCTTCTGAAATTATTTATTATCTCCATCCATATAATAAAGTACTTTTCCCTTTAACTAAGTGCCAGCCGACTATAATTCCTGATCCAATACAAATCAATTTTATATTTTTCGAAGGTCCTCGATAAGCTATATATTTTTCCTAATAGGATAAGTCATGTCTGGTCAATGATTAAAAGGTTATAAACCGATGTCCAGTTATTTGATGTTTTTTACATTTGTCGGGTTATATTGTCGGGTTAATGAGTGATCAGACCTGGTCCTTTAAGTTGGAAAAAAGATATCGCTTATCGAGAGCTTTCGAATGATATGAAATTCATTTGTATTGGATCAAGCATTAAAAAGTTACTGGCACTCATTTTGCGGTCGTTTAACGGAAAAGTACCAATAATTAATACCAGAAATAATCTGTTCTGGTGTTTTGTCATAGCACATATCCGCCATTGTCATAGCCATTGCAATATTTCGGTCAATTATAAAATTACCTTTATTTAAATTATTTTTAAATAAAATTAAATTCAAAATATTACATTCAAAATCATCGTCATCCTCTCCTAAAGGATTCAATAAAGCCTCTGCAACTTTAACCCACCCCATGATGAAGAATAATTCCAGAATAGTCATTAAGGGTATTATTCTGTCTATCTATTTAAAAATTGGTTGAATTTTTAGAAAAACTTTTTCAATAATGATTTTGTTAATTACCGTGTATCCTTTAATAACTACCCTTGGGTAATTATTGTTTCGACCTTTTGTTGGAGGAGTAATTAATCGAGGGAGGATAATTATACGAGATTTGAAATTTGAACGTGTTTTAGAGCATATGTTGGGGGGGGGGGGGTAATTATTGTTTCAATCTATAGCTGCTGGGGGTAATTATGAACTGGGGTGATTATTTGAGGGAGGGCAATTAATACAGGTTATACGGTATGATTGATATTCTCTTTTACAAGATAATCAAAAAATACTTGAAGATATTCTTCATTTTGTTTTTTCTCATGTTCATTAATTCTGTATTGCCTTGAAACTAGGCAAAGTAAAAAATAAATTCTAACAGCTAAGAAGACAACTTGGGGATATGCTAAAAGCAAATTTGTTTAAATTAATTTATTATTCGATTTCCCAACCTAATGGTACAGGTACCCAATCATAGTTACACAAGATTTGAAGTTTCTAAAATTTCTTAAAATTAATCACATTTGTTAAAATTAAAGATAAGACTAAAATTTATTAGCTACTAGATTAAAAATTTTAACAACGATACGCTTCTTTTTGATGTAAGGAAAATTAAATTTGAGACAGGAATCGTAAAGAGAACCACTGTACATAATTGTTGCTTTTTTTAAATTATTTTATAATTTCATAAACTTAGCAAAAATCTTTTCATTATTTTTAATCTTTTGAAGAATTCCTAATTAAACAAAAATCCTACACCTCTTTAAACACTTTAACTTCATTCAATATCGCATTCATCAACATATCTGCCACAATATTACCGCAAAGACGCAAGCGGTAACAAATAACAAAAATCCAATTAATTGGTATCCAATAATTATTAAATCCAACAGAAGGTATATTTTCTAATAATTCGCGCTCATTCTTCTGTAATATTTAAATTATTTTTTTTTCTTTTCAAAAAAACTTTTTTACTTTCAAAAGTCCCGAATCAACCAAAGAATCCAGATTTGGGAAACGCTTCCTAACGGGTACAGAAATATCGCGAAGTACCAAAACTTGTGTTAAACACAAATATCTTTAAAAATTTTAACGGAAAATATTTTTAAAATTTTACCTTAATAATGTTCTGCGTTGATTATTAATTTCTGACTCATCTCCACGAATATAAGTATTAATGTAAAAAGCGGCACTGTCAATAAAGCCTATGTTTTGAAATATATTTTTCCACCTGAGAAAATTATAAAAAAAATTTGAACGAAAAATAATTTTCTGTGAATTAATATTGGTATAAGCATTGGAGGTAAGGTTTAGAAGTTTATTTATCAAAAATTTGCATGTGTGTACTTTCGGAGCCCGTCCGTGGGTTCAATTTTATGGTTATCCTGCCCCTATTGCACCCAGTTTCCCCCACACCATTCGGATAATGTAAAACTGCATTAAAATATTCGAAATAAAATGATTTGGTTTAATTAGGCGCAAAATTTTCATAAATAAAGTGTTATTTAAAATTAAATTAAATAATAAATGAACCTATCAACAACAATGGTAACAAAAAATCCGAGCCTGAAAAATTATAAAAATAATTTTTAATTAAGTTAATTTAATAATATTCATTTGCAAAAATAATATACATAAAAGTTAAAGGTAGGAGATGCAATCTAATATCAATATGACGCCCAATACTTTCAAACATTTTTTGCTGTATTGTATCAAGACTAAACCGATAAATGCTAAAAACGATATAATAGAGAACGATCCAAACAATCACCTCGACTAGTACCTAAAATATAAAATTTAAAATTCTTCTGTAAATTTTTCCGATACCATGAATACCTTAAATGAATCCCTAAGCTTCTTTCTATAGGTCCTCATTGTGGGTTTATATTCCTCATTGTGGGTTTTTATATTATACATATTATATTATGGGCTATTAATGAATGGAAGTTTATTTTTCATAGGTTTCTCAGACGTGTATTTGAGACTGACACACATTAATATTAGGTTTCGCGTGTGTCATGATACGAGGGTTTGGAATAGTTTGAGGGCGGTCCGGGTGCAACTTTATGTATAGATGACAGTTTTTAAAGTACAGTATGTAAATTACTTACAGACTTCCAAACTGATCCTCGCCATCTAAAAAGAATCCTTAAAAATGACCCAACAGTTGAAGTAGAGGAATCCAAAATATACGAAACTGTCATTTTATTTTTAATTTCTTTTAACTTTAAAGTCTAAAAAATTTAAAAGGGCAGACTAATTATTATAAAAATTGTTAACAATAAGAAATCAATTTTTAATTAAATATTAAACTTTTTGTAAAAATCATCGTTTAAATTTCAAAGTAAAAAATGAAAAATTAAACTTAAGATGTTAAAGATTATTTTATTAAATTTGTTTTTTTTTTCTTTAAATTTATTTGAAAAATAATTCTATTAGAATTTCTGTGATCATTAAATTCCATAAATTTTTTAAAAAATATTTTCTTCCTAATTTTAAATAAAATTATTTTCTTATTCATAAAAATAGGTTAAATAAATAAATAAATATTATTTCCTAAAAATTTTTATTTAATATTAAAAATTCTTTAATAAAATAAAAATTTATTTATTCAAATAATAAAAAGACAAACCTATTCACCTATTTTTTATAGTTTTTAATGCTTTTGATTGAAACGATAATAAAAAATGAGAACCAAAAAAAGTTTAAAAATAAGGAGACAAACATTAAATAAATGAAATAAAAAATATAAAAAAATTATTAAAGCTAAATCTCACAAAAAAGGGCCGATTATTTGATAAAAATAAACTTTTGAACTTAAAATTGTGGATAGACAATGCCAGGTCATACATATTTGTAAAACAACACCCTTAAAAATTTAATCTAAAAAAAGTGACACTAATTATGACCCGACCTACTATTTTTTTGATCAAATTAAAAAACAAAATATTTATCATTATTAAATAAAAATATACAAATTATTTGAATAAAAATATATATTTAGAGAAAAAAGAGTGAAAATAATAATAATAGAAAGCTGTGTAAATTTAAATAATAATATAAAATAATTTTACCTAAAAAGAGCTTTTAATAAAAATAATAAAATGTCTTTATCGGGCAAAATAAATAAATAAAATAATCAGAAAAAATCTAAGATTTTAGAATTCTTTGATATAATTTGCTGCAACACTAGATTTTTTTAAATATATTTTTTATTTTCTTTCAATTTATTTAAAAGTCTACAAGTCAAATAAAATTAGAATAATATATTCATCAAATTTGTAATAATCAGTGTAAACTTATTTTTAGTCGCCTCCCTCTATCATAATAAACTCCGCCACATAATTATATGAACACCCCCCAAATACAACTTTTTACCGTATTTATATGTCAAAATACTTTCTTTAACCTTAATATATTTTAGAAATCGGCTAAAATCGCCTTAGAAAAAAGAAAATCTGAAAATTATTCACCGGTAAAAATTTTGAGAAAATTTTCAAATTTTCGACCGCCACATAATTATATGAACACTTTGGGTTTTCGTATTTCTAAGGGTAGAAAAAATCTACAAAAATTCCAATAAACTTATTTATAAATACTAAGAAAAAATAAAAAAGAACCAGGCGTATATCACATTCCTGTGTCGAGATCTCGATACCTCGAAATCAACGTAAAACAGGGGTAAGCAGCTTCAAAAAATTTTTTCGACCCATTACGTATTATTTTAAATTTATATTTTATGCTTATCTGAAAGCCCTTGAAATTTGCTGCAAGATAGCAACTACCTCATTTTCCAGAAAAAATATTCTGGCATATTACTAACTGTCAAATCATTAAGTTTCAAATAAAGACTAATTGCCGCATAAAATGCCCTATAAGATCGCTACGGAAGAATGAAAGTAAATATCTCTTAATTGTATTTTTTCTGAAAAATAAAATTTCTGGTATCTAATAGCAAATTTCAAGGGCTTTCAGGTAAGCCTAAAATAAAAATTTTAAATAATCGATAAGGGGTCGAAAAATTTTTTCGAAGCTGCTTACCGCTGTTTTACGTTGATTTTCGTGGTTCAAGATCTCGACACTTAAAGCAGATATGGGCTTAGTTCTTTTTTATTTATTCTTAGTATTAATAAATAAGACTATTGGAATTTTTATAGATTTTTCCTACCCTTAGAAATACGAAACCCCAAAGTGTTCATATAATTATGTGGCGGTCGAAAAATTGAAAAATTTCAAAAAAAATTTTACCCTGAAACCATTTTCAGATTTTCTTTTTTCTAAGGCGATTTTGGCCGATTTCTAAAATATATTGAGGTTAAAAATAGATATTTGCCTACTACATACGGTAAAAAATGGAAATTTAGGGGTGTTCATATAATTATGTGGCGGAGTGTAGACTTCCCTTTATCATCTTTTGGTATTTTCATATCTTTAATATTTTATTTAGATTTTTTAGAATATATTTTATATTATAAAAATTTTATTTAAAAAATTAATTTAATTAATACACTTAATTAATAAAAAAATATGTATTATTCAAAATAAAAACATACTCTTATTTTCATCTTCTTTTAAATTTTCATTTAAATCTTCATTATTTTCTTTATCCAATAATAAATTCTCATGATTTTCTTCCAACATTTTAAATATTTTATAAACACTTAAAATTACAGAAAAATTATCTATAATTAAATTATCGATGTTTGTTTTGAAATTTTCAATTTCTTTTTCAAGCATTTTTTGATTTTCTTCATCAATTTCTTCAACTTTCAATTCATCTTCAATTATTTTAACTTCTTCCTTTTCTTCAAAATTACTTTCTTCTTTTTCATTTTTTTCAGTTATTTTATTAACTAAATTTTCTAAGAGAATATCTTGGAATGCATTTGAAATATTATCAAGTAAAATTGGAAAAATAGCTTCCCTTCCACTTAAAATTAATGAAACATCTTTTTCAATAATATTGTGCAGATATTCATTATCAATTTTTATTTTTGTTATACTTAAATTAATAAATGCTTTAAGTATATAAAATATTTTAAAGATTAAATTTGAAAAATATTTTCGGTGTCGAAAGACTCGGAGTTGTACATATTTTGTTGGATTGAGAATGTCAGGGTCAGGTCGGGATTTTAGCCAATAAAACTATGGAGTCGGGATCCAATCCAAGATTTTTAATACATTTTGAAAAGAGTTAAATTTATATGAATTTAAGTAGATAGACAAGGATAAACTTAATTCTTCTCATTGAAAACTCTTAATTGCCAAATAAATTAAAAACTTTTAACAAACAATTTTTCGTAAAGAACAGCCAAAATTGCTGGGTAAATTAACTGATCATTTCCAGAATCCTGCATTTTTATAATTTCTTCGAATAAAATTGCATATCGCAATAATTTGTAAATATTATTTACAAAATCATATAGAGTGGTATTCGTTATATTTCCCATAATTAAAGATATCGCGTTCATTAAAGTTCCATTTTGATGATTTATTATTAATTCATCTAAAAAGTAAATAGAATAAAAAAGAATTGCTCTACTATTTTAATATTAAAATAGGTAAGATGTTTTTTAAAAATTTGGTTAGTGGTTTAAGGTATAAAGTCATTATAAAGTCCGATATTCATTTGAGAAAGTATCAAAAAATGATGTTAGATAATAATGGACATTAAATTGTTTTTTGATTTCATTTCATTATTTTGTTATAGTAAATTGTATAATTTATGCGCAAAGGGCTCATTATTTATCTGACAACCCATTATTTTTAAAATAGTTTTTTTAATATTTTCTGTACATCAACGAAATTTTATTTTATTTAATTAAATCTAAATAAAATAAATCTTTCAAACAAAACAAGCTTAATCCTTCCTTAATAAAATATACTAGATTAATAATTTAATTAGAGTTCGGAATTTGAAAAATGCCGGATAAGGTTTTCGGATTTTCAATTTTACTCTATCCGGATCGATTTTGGAACTACAAAAATTAAAAACCTGGTACCGGAAATCCCGTTTATATCAAAATATCCGGATTCCGGACTACCGATCCGGAAAATCCGGCCGGATAGAGAAAAAATTAAAAATCCGGAAACCGGATCCGTTCCGAGTCCGAACTCTATTTTATATGTACATTTTGTATTAGAGAGGTGTTCTACTTTTTATCTTATTTTATAATTAATAACCAATTTTATCTTCAACAGAAATAATTCTTTCTGCCTTTTGTTTTTCACTTAAAACGACGGCTAAAGCTTTTTCTATATTTCCTCTAACATTATCAATTAATTCATCTCCTTTCGTTTGATAAAACATTAAGAATTTATATCCAAAAGCGGTAAATTTTCCATGATTTTGAATTGTTTGTGGATAACTTTTTGAAATTGAACAAATAGCAGTACAAAAATCTTCATAAAATTTTTTCTCAAATCGCCAATATTCAATTAATTCAAATTTTATATTAAATAACCAAAAATATTTTTGAATAGATTCAAAAAAATGTAAAATAGCTTTGTCTATTAAACAATAAAATTCTAAATAATTTTCTTCATTTAAATTATCTATTAATTTTGAAATTATTTCAGCTGAATCAATCAACACGTTTATTCGATCACTTATTAAATCCAAAACTTTTTCTGTTGGTAATGCTTCTAAGTTATTTTGTCCTTGTAATTGTTTAGTTTTTAATTGTTTTTTAATTTTTCTTTTTTCTTTTCGATCATTTTTAGTATTCCTCAATTCAATTTCTTTAGCTATTCTAGCTTCTTTTTCAGCTTTTTTCTGTTGTTGAATTTTTTCCTGAATTTCTCGATTATTTTGTTTTATGGCTTGTTTTATATAAAATAAATCTTCTGAATTATTTTCTTTTATTTTTAATTTATTCTTATTTTGTTGTTTTTGTTCTTTCCCCTTAGATTTCTTTTTATTTTTCTTTCCTTGATCAGTATTTTTACTGTCAACGGATTTTGTTTCATTTGAATTTTCCTATAAATTTTTTAGTTTTATTCTTTGGAAATTTGTATGGAATGTTTATGATAAGAACTTAATTAAAAAATATATTTTAGACAGATTGTGGAGAGCCTTTACTTTCTTTTATTTCAGGGATCTCTTCCGCTGTCGTCTCTCGCCGACTTCCTTTTTTATTTTTCTTCCGCCTCTGTCTACTCCATTTAAAAATATCGTTAATTATTTAATTATTAATGACACTCA